TGAAACCCAACGAGAGATATTATAGAATGTGCTTCATGCACACTTAACTTGTAAATCAGCGTACAATCATGTGTAATAAAATGTATAATGTACAGATATTAATGTACAATTATTTTAATGTACTACGAGCCAATGTAAGTGGTGCCACCGGTATCAGGCAGAGGTGTCCGTGCCATGTATGTGTGGGCCACCGGGTGACAGAGGAATCTTGGGGCACCGGCGAAACCATGGCGTGTGCGCCCATGCATCAGTACTTTGCAAGCCTGCGATGGGTTGTGCAACGTTGGTGCGGATCAAAGTGGAGGGATGGCGACCACACCAGTTCTGGACACAACTGGCAATCAAGACACCCTTTAGAACAAGTAGCCTAAACATGCATAAAAATGAGTGCATGTGAAATGGGCCATTTCAAATGGCATAAAAATGTATATAAAAGTATTTCCACCAGACCGGTCTCCTGAACCCTCCCGGTCATGTTCCCCACACGACAACATTACAACACGGTGTCCATCACCAAAATACTCCACATACCCGAGGTCCCCGTACTTAACAGTTTGCCCTTTCGCTTCGCACATACTTCACGTCACTTTTCTCCCGTGACTCGACCCCGAGTCAGCCCCTTATCCTGTCCTTGCGACCACAACTGTCCCCTCTCACCCTCAACTCAACCGAAGCGAAACAAGATAGGAGGGGGACCGAGGGGAAAGCCTAAGTAGCCGTCCCCGCTCAGCCCCGCCAAAGCCCGCCAAGTCCAAGGGCGCCAAACTGACGGCCCTTGGAATCTACGTACTTTGACTGACCCAAGGTACTAGAGAGGGCCAGAAACCCGTTTGAATACGACTGCGACTGATTCGAATCGCAGCGCAGCCCACCCAACGTCGTCCTGGGTGGAAATCTATTAACAAGATAGTTAATGTCATATATGGATCAATCACCCTTGCACCAACTTCCCCCAAGAGCGTTGTTGGTCGATTGTTGTGGCAGAGTGTAGTGTGTGATGCCTTGTGAGCCAAGGAAAAGCAATCATTACAATTGAGGCGATGGCTTCATAACAGAAAAGCATTGGCAATTTCGCACACGTTCAATCCGTCTATAATTCATTTATCTCATTAACCTTCATTGATTTGTTGCAAATCATGAGTTAGCGGTGTAATTAGTATTGACCTCAAAACGAATTGCAGATCCTAGATGGCCTTAGGCAACGTATGGCCACTTCTAGATTCGGGGCCCACACCCTCGCTGTCCATATTCAAGGTATCGCCAAATTCAGGTTACTGATATCCAATATATCAGGAACGGAAATTCGATACTCAGGAATCAGGGTGGGCATCAGGGTGGCCATAATCAGGGTGTGTGTATCCACAATGTGCATATGCAGAATATTCTGGATTTTTTAGTATGGCATCAACGTTGTGTTCGATATCGAGAAAATGGACCTTTTCTGACACAATATTGCATTTCAATACGCAATTCTCGCCAATTTGGAGCTATTTTTGATTTAACTGGATTTCGTTTGAAAAAAATTCGATGCGAAATCGCGAATTCTGGGAGCTCTGGGAGACTCAGTGAATGTTGCAATTTCCTTGCTAGTCCGTTGCCAGTTATTTCGCTGATTTGGTTCAATCTAGTTCTTATCTCGCTGAGACGCCCTTGGCCTATTGAAATTGTGCTCAAGTGGGTGCTAAAGCATCTAGGCTGCGGAGGAGCTCCTTGTTGCTGCAGCCAGGAGCAATCTGGAAAAGAAGTATCTGACGGAAAAGAGAACAAAAAAAGGAGATAAAATTGGTGTAGATGGTTTAGCCTCAATAGCGCTCAGGTATGGTATGGCGTAGTTGTAACTGAGTAGTTAATTGGTTATGCTTGGGTAGCCCTATTCTGGTGTAACCAATTCAGCAATATAAATGCAATGTTATTACAACGTTCAGATTTAGCAACCACCGATTTCAGGAGTTGCGGTTTCAATCTCTCCTTTCTGCTTTTCACATAATCTATACAATCCAATGAACTTCTTCTGGGCAATTCCTTTTTGCAGGACTCCTGTTCCGCCGAATTTAAGACACGTACTTCAGAAATCCTTCATCACATCGGTGGTTACATTAGATAGACTCGAATCTACAATTTTTGAGGCTGCCCCTCACAAGCGAAAATTCGAGCAAAATTCACGGGTTCTAAACGTGTAAAATGGTGCAAAACTGTGCCAAAACATGTAAAATTTATAAGCACTCACTCAATCGTTACTACACGGTTTGGCCTCATTTTTATACGACAACAACACGGGTTTTACATGATTTCCAACCGTGTTACACTGCACACGATTTTCGAAACCGTGTATTTGGGTCTGTTTCTTATTAGTGCCTCTTCTCATGTTTACTGTGGTTGGCCTGCCAGCGTTAGATGCATGATGGCTCGTTTGATCTCTTCAGTTGGTCCACAACAGCTTGAAGTTGTGACATAAGCAGTTCGTCTTTTTGAATTTGCTTGCCTATCAATCACATCGTATTTCCGAATTTGCTTGCTTACTAATCATGTCTCCAGCCACAGGTATCCCGCAGCCATATGCACCGCGGAGCGCCGGATGTCCCATCTTTGCTCAAAACCTACAGGACTCCTAGATAGGAGTCCAATCAATTAAAAAATAGATCCGGTAGCACAAGCGTCTGCTAGGCGGAATTCATAACACATGGAACTAAAATCCCGAACCCAGCCAGATCACACTGCGCGGTGGAATGCAAAGCCATGGAATCCAAGCATCGTTGCCCTTATCCTCGGGTTGCAAGAACTAGGACCTAAACGAATTCGCGCCGCACACACAACGGAACTAAAACCTGCCGCCACGATCACGGACTCTCCGTGATCAAACATCGTATCTCCGCATCGTATACCAGATACCAAAGATGTAAAAACCAATTATAAGCCCCGCAGTTGGCAATCCAGCCGCTGGCCAGCCACTATACCCATGGGCCCGAAATGTAAAATTCTGTTACATTAAGAATCAGTCCTAAAATTCTCTGAACGCCTGTTCGGCCTCCGCTGGATCTACTTGCTCTCCATTGGGGTCGTCCACAGACTCTGCGTACGCTTCAAAATTGCTAGTGTCTCCCGGGGACTTGATTTTTGGTATGAACGGTGGCTTCATCTTCCCTGCTAATTGCGACACGCGCGAGTTAATATTGGCGCCAAGAGCACTGTGATAGTGATGGTTGCGACAGCGGCAGTTCCATTGCCATTGGTGATTGCTGCGCAATTCATTTGGAAAAGGCGGCATAAGCCTCGGCGCTCCTCAGTGCTTCTTTTTAAGCAAGCAGTAAGCAGAATGGCGAAAATTAGCGCGCAAGTGAATGCAAAAAGGCATTTAATCAGTAATTTCTCCGAAAGTGTATTGAAAGCATTTTGACGGAATTTTTCACAGATTCCACAATCCGGTCCACAATGTGCCGATGATATGCATTACTGATCGCCTAAACCAACATTTCAGGTATCGGAGACGTCCCGTGGGGATGGATGTAAACGGCAGCCCCAGCGCGGACACGGGAAATCTCCTATTCGACAGAAGACTGTCTGTACATCAAGAGAATATTATCCGCACTGCAGCCACTATGAGAAAGCGCCAGATTTTCGAAGCTACCTGCTATGCAATTCCAACACAAAGTGGCGTCATCAATGTGATTGTGATGGCATAAAGGTAGGTGCGATGACGCCAATTAGTGTCGAATGCCATCGCAGTTGGCATCGCAAAAATGCCGTTTTGTTCTGGTGAATAGAGTCTGTAGATTGCTGAAGGCGGCAATGGCAACCAAGAAAACGCTGCTTAGGCGGCACGCTCTCAGTCGCCGTCTTGCATGATTTGCACTAATTATGCACTATTCTCATCATTTAATCAAATATCCATTGTCAGTTGATCATTTTCCACAAGGGCTGAACGCAAAACAAAATTGAACGAAATGGCCAGGAGATTTGCGTCCTAATAGGACTGAACTAGAAGCCCATCTCTCAAACGGTGTGAGGAACTGTTAGGAACGAGAAATCATGGTCAGAACTGCATCGCCTGAACTCAGTGTGAAACCTCGAATGCGACAACATCATTCGTGCGCTATTTCAAAAGCGGTGCACGTACATTACGTAAGCGGCACGAGCATGTACTGTAATGCAATGATGCATATACCACTTTTCCCGCAACGCGGAATACAAATTGGATATTTATTGATAAAAGATTCCACAGTTGGAATCGTGCAGGGATCACAGCATTGCATTGCGCTAATTTGCGTCATGTCACGCCACTAGCAAATAAAGGACCAAACAACGCTTTTGGGAACACACATAAAACACATTTCATCAAAGTTCTGCACGCTAAGAACACAAAAGTAACCCAAACCCGTAAACTTCGTACATGTTTGAACACACGTTATTTGGCCCTTTTTTTCTTAGTGCACGTCGCACATCGCGCTTCCGGCCCGAGGCTTACCTTCCCTGAAGGCTTCCCAATCGAAATCTTTGAAAAACCTGTGCTCCAAGATGTCCGCGGCGCCTCTGTACAAATTGCCGATCCTCTTTGACTGGTCGGCTGTCAGTAGCCGCCGAATAAGGTCCTGCGAAGCGGCGGACCGATCAGAGGAAAATGATAACAAATGCAGTTTTTTTCTTCTTGTTTTCATAATTCCCCTCGGCGCCCAGTTGATCCCAACCACGTTTTTAACACACCAAGCATGCAGATAAATATGTACTGTTTCTATGCAATTCCATTTGGCATTCAAAGACGCAACCCCAAAGAACAATCCAAAAGCGTGCGCACAACAGAAAAATAAACAGCCTCCCAGGGCAGCACCTGGTGGCATAAAAAAGGCTCTAACTATGAGTTTCATGAAGTGAATTGCATAACACCTAGTACGCCGTTCAAAGCAGATGGCATTCAACGGCGTGAACGCACAACACTGAACGCCAATCACCACCCTTTCATGACACGTCCACAGTTTTCTGAAAGATTGTTGATTGCCCACATGCAACTACAGCAAAGTACTGAGCTCAGTGCCGTTTTCACAAAATGGAAGATCAATCACGCGACAAAAAAGATGGGCGCCGTGCCAAGCGGGCCTTGCCTTGGCCCAGGGATCGAAGTGCTTCGGGAAGTCCACCCGCCCTTCCAGAATCCTCTGGTAGATCACGAATGGGTTCTCGTGGTGAAATGGTGGGTAGCCCGCCAGCAACTCGAACATCATTACTCCCAGACCCCACCAATCCACGCCCCGGCCATGCCCCCTGCTCTGGATCACCTCGGGAGCCAGATACTCTGGCGTGCCGCACAGCGTCCATGTCCTGCAGCGCAATATTGTGCAGAAGAGCGGAGTTCAATTAGTACGATTAGCAGAATTAGTAGTACTTCATGCAAAGCGCAGTGAAGGGTCATACTATCATGCATCGCACAGCGCTCAAATCGCAGCCCTCACACCTAGGGGCACACATCAGGTCTGATCCACCAGTAGTGAACTCCGCTTTGGCGATGCCATATGCGATTCCGTTTTGACACCAAGTGAAGCCATCGCAGCGACTTCGATGGCATTAGTAATTGTGATAAAATCTACCACTATCAAATGGCATTGCAATCGATATCGCCTATTGGTCACGTGGTGGCATCATTTGCCAAAATGATGCTTCCAACCTGTGACAGTCGATGAAGGGTGTCATTCCCAAGCACAGCGCTTCTTGTACGAAAGTGTTCTTTAGAATTTCCATGCCCAGAAAATTGGCCGGTCATCGCCGTAGTGCGCAATTTTAAAGCATTCTCTACACCGGCAGAAGTGGAGGGCGCAGTGGGACATGTGGTCACGTATCAGATTTGTGCTACAAATTTGCTCCAGGAGAAAAGTGGCACAAGGCTTAGCACCTCATAATATTTGGATGCGTCACCTTTTTCCGAAAATGAAATTTTGAAAAGTCTAAATTTCTATTTTTCCAGAAATAAAATCCAGAGAAAATTTTTGAGTCCAAAACAGTAAATTTCTTCACCCGCCCACCTGTCGTACACCTTCTTGGCGAATCCGAAGTCCGTTACCTTGAGGTACCCATTCGTGTCAATCATGATGTTCTCCGGCTTGAGGTCCCTGTACACAATGTTCTGCGCGTGCAGGTGCTCCAGCACGACCGCGATACCCGCCACGTAAAATCGCACCGTAGATACGCCGAATCGCCCGGCCTTCTTCAAGTGGTAGAACAGCTCGCCGCCGGGGACGTATTCAAGGAGCATGTACACGCATTGTGCGTCCTGGTAGGTGGATATCCTGCGCGGTTGAAAATTTTCCATTGTCGTTCAATTCTCCGATAATTGATGGCAATAATGCTGAGGTGATAGTCATCTCAAACGAGGCAATATTCAGTACAATAGTTGCATATTTTGCAATTTATGTGGGTAACAATAATTTTGGAGAAATGGCAGTCGAGCAACATGCACGCGCAGTGGGCGGTTGGTAGGTGGATATCCCGCGCGGTTAAGTGGATCTGACTGCGGTTTCGATTATGATTATGAATTTGTTGATTATGGCGGGTGTGTCAATTTTGATGAACGCCGAAAGGCTGCGCGTATAAAATGAACAACCCGCAACATTGCAAATTGGCCCAAGGAATGGCGACAATCTCATGAATGCTATATATACATGCCATATTTATAATACGCTTTATTAAATGGTACGTGGTAAACATTACTACATTATCACTTGACATATGCAGTGAAGCTTCGCCCGTCTACATGCAGGCTGAGATCAGCGCAACGATGCAAGCAAAGATAATTTTTTGGTTTTGGTTGATATGTTCACAAAAATATTACAATCCTCAGAACAGAAGAAACGAGTACAAAAATTTTACGCCTTTCTTATTGAAGCAATGAATTTCTTATGTTACGTATTTAATTACCCTACATTGTATGTTTTGAGATGGGCATCATTAGCACTTATTACTGTGGCCTTGAGATTTACCCTCCCGAGAATGCGAACCAGATCCACCCACAAGTTGGCGATGAATGGGTGATGCACCTCCCCCAGTATCTTCTTCTCGCTGATCACGTGCTCCACTTGTTTCAGCTTCATCAGATGCGCCTTCTTGAGCGACTTCAGAGCGCAGTACTTTCCATTGTTGTTGTTGCGCACGAGCCGCACCCTAGAGAAGCTGCCGGTACCTGGCTGAATAGGTTCAAAAATCGATTTAGCGACTCCATTCATGCCTTTCCCTTTTTATCTCCCCTGCTTTTTTTTCGATGCACTGATTGCATCCGTAACGTAGAATTTCTTTGTCGTTTGAAATTTGCATTGGGGTTTTGTTATGCAACTTGACTAAGGGATTTGATTGTTAACGGTAAAAATGGCCTTATGTTCAGAGAGTAATTGGAACTGATGTTGCGTGCGTTAGGCTGCGTAAACCCTAACCGGCGAGTGACATTTCCTTTCGGTTCGTTGTCGCCCAAAGATGCTTTAATTCTTAACCAATAATTGTACCCTTTATCAAACTAAAGTTCTTCAGAAAACTCACCAAAATGCTTTAAATAGTAGCCCTAAGGCCGCTAGTTGCGAATTTGGCAAGCGTTTTGTTGCTCTCTCTTTTTATAATACTGTTGTTCCGGAATATCTTGGAAAAGTGTGACCTGTGTACCTTTGGGGCGCATCAATGTAGCGCGGTAGAAAACAGCAGTAGAAGCAGAAACAGCAGCAACTGTTGTTCGGAAAGCTTTGCCACGCAAAGTTGCGCTGCAACCGCTGGAGCCCAAACTCATTGAAACAATCGTATTGGAGCTTTGCCGGATTGCACATGCGGAGCCAAGGAGCAGCACTTAAATTTCAAATTCTGGTTCATCCTCCAAATGCAAGCATATGTTCATATTCTCCAAATTCTATATGAGTCACATTAGACATTCGATATTTCAAACTCCATAGTCAATTTGACCGTCAACATCGCCATCCTAACCGACAGAGCCGCCTCCAAATATGGGCTTCCCGCTCACCCATGAAAGAGCAGCTTCCACGCAACATCTACTCAATTTACTGTCCTTTTCAGTCCAATTTCTGTCTTTCCAATAAGCAAGACAAACACAGTTTTTGAACCTGCCGCCTCCAGTTGACCCCAGTCAAACTCTGCCTTTTCAGTCAATCAAAACATTGACCAAAATCCCAACTGCTGCGCCAATTCTCTGTCACACAAAATGCACCAAAATGAACTCCAAATGGCACCCACAATAGCAACTAAGAATAGCCAAAGATGGCTTCCCCCGAAAGTTGTCAAGAAGCATCGCCTCACAACATCACAAAACCGCCACAACACAGTCCCATGGCCTCACCGATTGTCTGCAGCGGCTCCAATTCGCCGAATTTCGGCGTGGGCACTTTGGACCCGGGCGCCGTTCCGGCCCGCCCCTTGGCGGCCGCCGGTTCAAGGCGCTCCCTCACAGCCCTCGCCATCTCCTCGTCCTCGTCGCAGTTGTCCTCCAACACATCCAGGGAGGCCAGCAGGTTCCCGGACTTGGTCCTCATGTTTTAGTTCCCGAAGTATGGGAGGTCCGATTTGCAGGGGCACCGCCGGCCGCCCACGGGACGGCCGGCCTGTCACAGGACCGCGGCCGGGCTGCGGCCTGTCCAGTCACAGGATCGGGAGGCTGGCTGGCCGGGACTAGACGGTTGAAAGGGGGGAGGGGAAGGCGTCATGCGACGCCGCCGGCTCAGTACACCGGCTCAGGTTTGATTTTGATTTGGTGGGATTGGAGTAGGCGGACTGTCAATGTGAACGGGCCTTGAAAACATTAGCAGAAGGGCCACTTTGGCGATGCCAACTGCGATGCTACTTTGACACAAAGTGGCTGGAATGGCACAAAAACAGATGCAATGGCATCAATTTCCGTAAAATGGTGTCGCAGTTGGCATCGCCAGAATGCACCTTTCATCTGGTGAAAGGGACTCTGCTGCGTTTTTGATCATATAGAAACCTTGAATATCGAGGCGATGAGGCAGTCATCAGCTCTTTATTTCCACCATGAAAAGCACCATAGAAGAACTGTGGTTGTCACAGCGAGGCTGTTCCCAGATTGCAGCTGTCAGTGGGACAGGGCTGTCACTATGGCGTCATTACGGCTGGGTCATCATGGCTGATCATGGTGATCAGTCAGGAGATTCTACAAAAAAAAATGCTGGCCATAGGCTTCTCAATCCGCCCAAGAATGTTGCGCTGGGAAAAGGTGGATGGCAAGTGCGACAAGTTCTTGCATAACATTGAGATATGCTCCTTCAACTAAATGTCATCAATCAGTCGTGTAATAAGACTATTCAACAGTTGTTGGAAAATCTGTTGAAGTACTGTATGTGGCATGAGAATTGTTTACATGGCCCCAATAGCATGTACGAGGGGCTGGGCGCACGATCAAAAATCTTGACAGATAAAACGCTGGCAGGTGCTGTCGACATTCACCCGTAGAGATGTTCAGCCACTCAAACAGCGGTGAGGTGTACCTCAAGATACATATCGATACACAGCAAGCGCTTTTTAACACAGCACCCATCTTCGCTGTCCACCGGCAATTGATTATTCAGCAGCTCCGATAATTGATTTACAAGTCTTATAAACGGAGCAAGGGATATGCGATTTTTCTGGCCACTTCAAATGCGGTTTGCACCGCCAATGCACGATATTGTACTGAATTCATGGGAAGCATTGAATCCTATATTCCCCCCCTTCCCCCCAACCCGCGGTTAGGAAGAACCTCACGCCTGGTGTGCAAGAACGCCCCCACTGAACTTACGAAAACAGGTGCCACTCCGCACCCGCCCTGGCCCGTGCCCCCACGTCGCTGTCCTCGGCGCACTCACCCACCACCGACAACAAAGAAAACCGCGTACCGCCTGCATACAATACACTTGTAGAAAACAGCCTGTTTGCGACGCCAGCTGCGATGCCATTTCGACGCAAATTGATGCCGTCACAGTGAGTGCGATGGCATGAAAGCGGCTGTGATGGCATCAATTTGTGTCAAAATGGCATCGCAGCTGGCGTCGCAAACAGGCTGTTTTCTACTGGCGATACGCTCATGAAGGAAGGCAGGGTCGAGGGGTGGCAACCCAAGAGAGGGGTCTGATTACACTGCAACGGAGTACAGCGGAGCGGAGTGTCTCTTGGGGCTCAGCACCTTCAAAACAAGTACACACATTAATGTCATCGACTCAGTTAACGCTTTAATCAACACCAGCACGTGCCAATACGCATCACCGCCATGCCTTCAATAAAAACACCCAGCACCGCATCCGGAACTCGAACTACACCGTCTCCCCCCTTGGAGCAAACCAGCCGTACGGCAAAACGCCCGACCAAGGGTGGCACCCGTGGCCGTAAAGCCCCACACCGCCAGACCTCCCCCCTCCATCTTTGCCAAAACACAGTTTGTCGTCGCCTCCCGCGACAAAAAGACGATCTGCGCATCCTCAGAACCGGCCGTTCCCCGAGGCCGTCGATCCCCGCCCTTGAAAAATGGACGACGATGATTTAGCCCACGACCGCGTGCGGCAGATCCTGCGCGCGCGCGGCTACGTTTTCTGCGACGATGGCCGGCCCGCCGACACCGCCGAGCATGCCGCGGTGATGAGCGCCCGGAGGGCGGAGGCAGATGCCCTTGAGGAGCTGCTCGGCGAGTCCGTTGGAGCGTCGAGCACCGATCATGAGGCCCAGGGGATTGGGAACACGCTCGATGGGAGTTACGAGTTCTGGAGCAGCCGCGGATCGGGGTGGAATGAGGCGGAGGAGGCGGTGGAGTGGCTGGCGTACCGGCTGAAGTACCCTGCGTGCGTGGTGCGGTGCGTGGAGGTGTCAGTGTACAGGTGGGTGGGGTTGCTGCTGTTGAATTCCGCCTCAACGCTGTTTCGAATTCAAGGACAAAAATGAAGGAATGGCAGAACGAATGTGTCCATTAGAGCGATGTGCAAAAGGCCACGTTGTTCACATCCACACGCGCATGTTCCTCTGTTGAGTTCAGATCATCAGACAGGAGTTGCACACTTGGTACTCAAATTGGTTGGCAAGGAAGAGCAACCAATCCCACTGTCAAAGGAGCGGACTTGGTTCCCAGATCCACAAACAGCAACAACCCAGAGATACAAATGGCAAGGAGAATGTGCCTTGCCAATGCAACCCTGTGCTGGACCAAAACCAGTGTTCGTTACATGTCCATGTTCTAGAAAATGATGCAGAAGCTTCGGAATGCAACATTGGGGGGAGGGCGAGGCTGGGCGGGCTCTTGTGTTCGTCTTTCTGGTTGCAAGCTTTGCATCCCAATCTCACTCCCAAATCGTATTGCGATATAATGTTGTGCAACCAGAAAAGCTGTTGCATCTCTTTTGTAGAGGTGGAATGCCACCACTGCGCACTCTGCTGGCATCATTGCTGAACAACGGCAAAGCATTGCTGTTGCAAGGCTGTGGTAGCCTTTTTCTTTTGAATCCAAAGTGTCAAATGCAATGTATGATATTGAATTCAGAAAAATGGGCTGTGGCTGGCAGTCACATGGCCATGAGCAGAATGTTTTGAGGGAAGTGTCTCTTCACACAGCTCCATCGTAAAAGGAGAGATTTTGGTACATTCTTTGTGACAAGAAGTGGACATATTGCTGCAATGTGTTACGCAGCCCTCAAAAGGTAAATGCGGATGAGAGACTGCACCATGCTGTGGCTCAAAGACACAGATGTATGCACAGCATGTCCCAAAGATCGCAGCATGATCTTCCTCGTCCTAATAATGTGATATTGTGGACTTCTGTGACAAGAAAGAGGAACATGGTACAAAATGTCATACACCCCTCCTGAGCAAAGTGATGATGAGACTCTGCACCACACTGCGAAAGTTGTTGCAGAAGCATCTGAGGGCAGGGTGGGAACACTCACCAATGTGGGGCATGCATAGCATGGAAAACCTTGCACTTGGGTGCTTGCGCGATGAGAGAATGATTGGTGTGCTTGAAGCCATGAGACAATGTGAGACACCCTGAGCTATCCATCTTGAACAAGTAACCCAGCGCCGTGCCAACCTCATCCCAACAGAAGAGATGACTTGTCTTCTGTAGCATTAGGTGTTAGCTGGGGCACTGAGTTTCCTTCCGTCCTTGTGTCCTGCCGTATTGTGGGACTTCCATTGTCTGGCAAGGCATGTGCAGGGTGTGCTATCTTTTCCAGTCGAACGAGATTCAGATGATGTGGAGGTTGGACATTGATGTGCTGCTCGAATATGTGCTTGACCTGGAATCTCATTCAATGAATGGGGCCATCACTGTCCAATTATCAGATGGGTATTCTTCTCAGACATTGTTAGATGTCTGCTGCTCTCCCAGATACTATTGGGTTATCTTCAGTGGGCATTGTTATGAGACATGAAGTAGCCAGATGGGCAGTACAGCTGGGTGTGAGCCACACCTATTCCTAAAATGTTAAGTGTAGTAATGCAGAGGTATATGCAACGCAAACAATACAACCACGTCCTGCATTTGGCCAAATGCGCTGTGCTAAGAGAGCTGTACTCAGTGACCATTGCCATCCTCATGCTCATCTCTCAAACTTGAGTGCACAAAATCAAAATTGAAAGTTGCGTTCGTATTCTTATTCTTGTTCGTGACGGTAAACTCTGGCATATGGTTGGGCATCAGCATCAATGCTCCACGCCTGACAGTCAAGCCAGTCAGCACTACGTCATTGCAATACCGTAATCGCATTGGTGCTGTTCTTGCCTTCCAACAGATGCAGCAACCGAGACCTGAGTGCGACATAACTTTTTGCTAACAAAGAAAAGTATCAAACTGTACTGTTACTAATCAACTACTACTACCACCACTATTACCAACACTATTACTGACAAACTGATACCATAAGTAACAAAGAATAAGGAATTGAGACGCGCTGGCCCGTTCCGCAGAGCTCACTACCAGTTTGGTCTTCCGCTGTACCCCCCGAGCCACTTGGCTGTGGACGTGGGCCCCAGTCCAGAGACGCTGCACCGCGTCAGCCAGGTCTACCAGGTGCGTTTGTAGAGACGCTTAAAAAATCATGCTTTCCTTATCCTTGGCAACCATATACAGCCTTCCTGTTTGTAGCCGTTCTATTTGTAGTTGTTTTACTGCAACCTTTTACTGCAAGCACCTCGTTGCAAAGGTTGTCTTTTTGAGCGTTTTTGATAACCGCTCCTGGGCCATATTTGCCACAGCACGACAGACGTGAACACATTCTTTAGTTGCTTTGTATTCAGCAGGGTCTTTACTGTTTGTGTACTTTATGTTCTTTTTATTGTTCTTGATTCGTTGTTTCCGATGCTGCATTTATCTACTGTGGATGTTCGTCACATTTCAATGAATGCTGAGACAATAAAGTAACAATTATTTCTTGATTGGGCAGGTGCGGTCAGAGGAGCACGCACAAGTATTTCATGTGCCCCCAACGGCGGCTGTTGGAGGGTACCTGAGGCTGCACCTGAAGGGCAAGCCGCAGATGCAGCTGGCCGACGGCAGGTACAGTACTGTACCTGTGCGCTGTACTCTTTTGCGATTTCAGAAAGTGCTGCGCTGCGCTGCTGGTGTCAGAACGTCGTGCAATGTGTTGATCCGTGCTGAGCTGCCAGAAAACGCGGAAAAAAGTATTGATGCAGGTGCTGGTAACTGGGCAATGAACCTCGAAACATGTCCATGTGCACACAACAGAAGCTGTTACGCCCATAGGTAAAAACTTTTTACAGCACTGTTCGTGGAAACGTGGCATAAGACTTGGCAATTTGCAGGCCTCCATTGAACCGCTTTTCCCCGAAAGTTTGTCAAAGTGTGTGGCCACGATTTCCCGTACCTGGCCTAGGTATTCCACGTGTGCATAGCATCGATTGCCAGTGTCGCACACGTCGTGTTTAAACCTGTTGAGCGATGGAGGAAGCCCAACTTGTTAATTCCTTATATCACATTTTGAGTGTTTAAAATGTGATTTGTACTGCATCCACTCATACCATATTTTCAATTGGAAAAATATGAGGAATCCTTAAATTTTGACATGTTGTCAGTGTTCACCATATATAGTAAAACACCGTTCTGTCGTCCTGTTGATCGACGCGAAATTCACTTTTCGCGTTAGATGGACTGGTTTTGGCAGTGTTGTGTAGCCCGTGTCCTTTCTGGCACACGGAGAGTCTTGTGGTTGACTTGCATGATCTTCGGCAGGTATTACGTGGCCATTAGACAGGTCAGGGCATTTGGGCTGCCAGTGCCCGAGCACGTCCTGAATGGCATCTCGGGACTGCTGCACTCGCACAGGTGCGCTGAACACTATTGCTGTAAAGTATGGCACAGGGCTCAGTACTTTATGGTACTTCGTTGACCATTTCTTCCCTAAAACGGCGCTTAGGAAGACTGGCACTTTATGGTGCATCGTCGCACCAATGCTTTAATGTAAAATAAGTGAACGTTTGTTCGGGCAACCCGTTGTGGCAAGACTCCAAAGAGAGTCCTTTTAATGGCTGCCTGTTTGGTGGAAGTGCGGGGCAACTGTGATGTTGATTGTATTGTTAAAGTACTGGACATTTGCGGTGCTGTATGTTTGCTGGAGCGCACTTTGTTCAGTGCAACGACTACAAGTGTATGCCACTTGTTTGTTTGTGCATAAGAGCGGAGCTCTTATGCAAGAGGCAGAGGAATTTCTGTGAACAAGTTGAAGAACTGAGAATGTCGAATTCGGCATTGCAAAGAATCCTGTTAAGTTTGACCAATTCAAGTTGAGCCAGTCAGAAATGCTTCCAAAAAAAGACATGGAGAGGTTCAAAGAGTTCGGAGAAATTCAAGTTTTAAAAGTACGAAACACTATCGATCTGTAAATCAATATTACAATAATGCCATAGTAGGAAAATGCAATTTCCAATTTGTGATGGCGGCATGCAGGCTGTGCCTTGGGTCAGGCTCATACCTCCCGGCCACGGGCCTCTGCCACGCCACGCCGCCCCACTCCCGCACCGTCCTGCAGCGCATCGCTGCACTCTGCCGCCGCCACCGCCACGACGAGCCGACGACCGCAGCAGACGAATCCACCACGGCGGAAGACGAATCGATGACGTCAGCAGACGAACCGACAACGTCGGCAGACGAACCGACGAACCGCAGGCGGCGGCCTCGACGACACGCAACGGACTTCCGGCCTTTTGAACCGGCGCCGGTAAAGCGGTCCGGAAATGAACCGAGTCAAACTGCGATCGTCCGGACGTCTTCCGGGGTGGCTGCCCAAATGATGGCGGTTCCCGGGTGCCGGTTGCCGGTTGCACTTTTCCGGGAAGAGGCGCCCGGGCCAGAGTGGGAGGTGCACGATTTCGCTGAGCAGTGGGGGGAGTGCGTGTAGGAGCTGGAAGGGAAGGGGCGCCGTGGTGTTTCAGATTGAGATAGGAGTTCTCACTCTTTCTAGGGAGTTTGTGGGATTTCTAGGATTTTCTAGGTCTTTCTAGGGTGTGTCTAGGGTTGTCAAGGCTTCTCACCCTTTTAGGATGTTTGTAAGTTGGCGCCTTACCGACGTTGCAAGAGGAGAGAAGCGACTTGTTGGCTCATTTTTTCCAGACTGTTCTAATACATGGATTGGCGCCGTTAGCAAGTGAGAAATGGCTTGTAGGCGCCAGGGAGGAGAGGGGATTGCAATGCTTGCGGTGGGCGCTGGCGAAGATGTGTTTGTTCAGGTCGGTCGAGAAACATTGGGTGACAAAGCATCATCATGAAATCCATCGATTACATTTGCCATAAAATGGCAAAACACAGCCCGTGCACCTGATAGGCGATGATGGGCGCGGAAAACAAGCAGAGTGTTTGTTCGGAATCGACTGTTCATGGTCCCATGTCCACGCAGTCCCAGAAGGTATGCAGGCAGCCATCAGCCGCTGCGGTTAATAAGAAGAGAGCAGTTCCGGCGGAATGTGAATTTGAAACGACCCCCTTCAGGCACAGCGTGTACAAGTCAGCACTTTGGCCTAACAGCCAATTGCCTGTGTTCGATTAGGAAAGAAGTCAGCAGTGCTTTGGCATAATCAGCCGCGCTGAAATTTGTGGCGTCGCCGAAATTGGTGAATTGAAGATGCAACATGTGTCAAGGCAGGACTGAAGAGCGTCCCGGATGCTGTGCCCTGTTGGACCAGAGGAAGCAAGGGAGGGGCATGTTACTGGCCAGGTGTCCGTGGGTTGCCGCACTGGCGTTTCGGCGTTGATAGTTTGGTGTGCACACTGTAATCGTTCAGAACTTAACCGGCAAGGCTGGTGGTGGAAAGGTGTGAGGGCTCGGCAGCGATGACTGAAGAGGAAAGTGGAGATAGGGCATGCTTCTTGGCGCAATTCCTATGAATGCATCCCGGTGTGCGAAAGTGGCTCAGTCACATTTTGGTATGTTCTGATTGGGAGAGTTGGGGGATGTGGCGCTATAGATGTCTCTAGCGTTGAGGACTGAGGGATGTAGGTTTGTTGCGAGGCAGCCAAAGGCGATTGCGGATTTGCAGCCCAAACACACTCGAATTTTACGACTCTTTCACGCTTCCTTTCCATTTGCCTCGAACCCAGGGGAAACTTGGTTGGTTTTGCTTTCAGCTGCGTCGAACGTTTGTTAACCTGATGCTGAAGCAGCAAAGACAATGTGAGTCACATTATGCGACCGGTGCTTAGCGGCAGAGGGTCCAGACAGACGTTCTGTCGCTCCACTTCGGGCCTCCGCGGTGGCTGGATCGGTCTGTGCAGCAAGGGACACTATCATAACCGAGCGCCAACCCGTGGCCGGGCTTCCCCCTGGCAGATGCAGGGGAGAAATATTCTCCCTCTGTATCAGTGGAGCCATCTGATTGAAAATGGTGGCCTTGCAACGTTTAGAAGCAGAGAGGCAATTCTCCGCTGATCCATTCTTCCCTGCCCCACGCCCCTGTGTCCCATGCAAGGCAGCTCAAGCCCTAAATCGAGCGCCATTCGAACTCCGACAGCGTGGAACATCCCGGGACCCGTCAGGAGCTATACAGCCCGGCGCATTCTGGAACGAACCTGTGCATCAGACCTTTCATACACGTAACTGTCCCGTGCTCTCAATTTCTTGACATGAAGTCATTAAGATCATGAAGTTAATTTCGGATTTTATGTATTCTCATCCAAAAAGCGCCCTGATCCATGTGTGGTGATGACCAGGGAATTCAAGGGAATCATGCCGATCCATAGCAAAACACGAATAAGGCAGAGAGTCTCACCAACTTGAACCAAACACGTGATATTTTCATACGGGCGCAGAAGTTTCCTAACCTGAATGGAGCAAGCAAGGCCTTCTCGACAGCACAGAATGGACAGAATTTTCTGACAATTGGGGCCAAGATATGGCACGTGAAATTCACCAAGGACGTCCATCACTGTGTACATCCAGCCACACTCTCTGTTTGCCATGTCCACGCTCAGCCTACCATTTGCACAAGGTGCACCATCGAATCCCCCATTGCTCTTTTCGTGCAGCGCAAAGCAAGTCTCATTCTCAAGAATTCTTCCAGTTCCCACGGCCTTAACATATCCACACATGCTACCGACAGCCTTTTCAAGGTGCAACTCATTCCTCAATGACAAAATTCTCACATCGTCATCATCATCGCCGCAAAGAAGCTCGTTCATTTAGGAAGCATGCAAAACTACAGATCATTCCACATTGGTTCTACGGTGAGCGGAGCAGCGTCCATGCAGCTGTGGCGAGCAGCATCTCTTGATTCCAGCCTCCCGTCCTGGAGACATAAATTTCCAAGCTAATTTTTCAATCGACATACAAACTCGAAATGGAAATGATAAAGTATGTGCCAGATCTTGATATTGATATTGGTTATCTTTGATAATTCGGTCAGATTGGCGCTGCGGTAGCCAACCACGCTTTGGGGCAACGCGGCTGGATGTTCTCTAGCTTGCTGCCCCCCTTCGTCCCTTCCCAAGCGTGCCATATCATGCATCTATCGAATGGTGTTGACGCAGGAATCTAGGGGAGAATTTCGACAAAGAAGCAGAGCATATCTTCAAGGGCGATATAACACACGCTGCTTCAGGGCATTGATGGCAGGTGTACCATCTTCGTGGCGATCCATCACCAAAAGAAAACAGCCGCCATCAGTTTGCGCGCAGCCGAGCTTCAGTTACAAGCATTCAGCTGGAAAAATTGGACACAGAATGGAGAACTAAATATTGCTATTGTTTCAGGAGCAAACGCAGACTGCTTTGCACTCGTTTGTATATGCTGAGAGTGGCTTCGAACCCGGACGGATTCCGGTCGATACGAAGCGGGTCATGCCGCGTCAGGCCGTCGGGGCATTTCTTCACCAGTCCGCCAACAAGGACCCCGGAAATCGGACTACGTCCACCTTAGCTACCTCGAACACTCCCCCTCCCACGTTCAACCTCATCAGGGGGGCACTGATGTGAGTCGCGCATCGCAGCAATGTCTGCCTTCCGCTCATCGCTCGTGGCGGTCTCTCAGCGGGATATTGATGACCACAACGACCCAGAGATGGATCAACCCAACCGGGTCGTGGCCAGGGCTGCAAGGCAACGGGACTGTCCCCCTGTGCAGCCACAATCACCCCTTAGGCCGTCAGTACTTTCGCCTGTTGCAACACAGATTTGGTAACAGAAAAGAGAGCAAGCCGCAAGGACGGGCCGGGTTCAGGAAATCCATGCCAACGGGCGAGGGCAGCCAGTGTGCATGCAGGCAGATCGGCCTGCATGGGCTGGCCCCAGAAAACGGGCGCAACAGACACATGTGCATCTGCGCTCCTGCCTTCCAGAACATCCCACAGACGCGCAACGCGATTCGTCTTCACACATACGCGTTGCACCATATGCCTCAAAGGACTGTGTGGCCCAACCGCGCGACGTTGCGCCTGGTTAACCACAGGACAGGGCGTGCGCAGCACGAAACGAATGAAAACAATTATCACCTTATGGCTCATTAAAAGCAAACTTAAAGGGTGTGACATGAGAAATTAGAAGGAAAGAATTCCAGGAACAGCTGAAGGAACCGACTTGTGTGCACAATGGACTTGGTCATGCTGCTCACTCTGTCGTGGTGATCAGCGTTCAGCCGATTTGGGGGACAAATGGGTGCAAAAGTTTCATGTCGTGGTAGCCAGCTGCACGAGATGTCGCCTTCCATTCTGGAACTTTTCAAGTGTATCCATGCTTTTTGTTCCTAACGATAGGAATCTGGGTATAGATTTGAGGTGAATGTACACTGTTTACTTGTTGGGCGATGCCTGTCATGTGAGCGGTTCTGTTTTGAACATTACTGGAATGCACATTGTTGAAAGGCGTGCCCCATCACGGCGCGAAATAATGCACGCAGTTTCTCTGAGGCAGCTAGAGAAGCAGCCGACAACAAATTGCCATCAACCGTCCTATTTTGCAGCCCGTGCTCGTTCCTGAAGACTGGTTGTTTACGGCATAACAAGCGTATATATTTACGTATTTGCATGCTTAACACGTAAAATACGTAAATGTTGGCCCTGTTCACATTAAGATAGTCACGGAGACTTGGGAAATCCGGAGAGAGGCGGGGAGACGCCCTGGAATGAGAGAAACCAGCCTTTGCTCGACGACGCCGTTACCCTTGTTGAGTCGAGGTGGACACTGTGCTTCGGGTGTTTGAGGAGCCGGAGCACTGTTGTTTGCGTGCTATATCATCACGTAACCTCGGTGTCTTACCGCGTCGTAAAAATACTCAAGTATAGCTTCGAAATCGCCGCTTCTGTGTTTACGTGCATTCATGCATAAAACTCAAATACGAAAAATGGTGCCACACATGTAAAGAAGAGGCGTGGCTGCCAGAACACCACAGCGCCTCCGCCTTGTGGCGACACTCTCCGCGATTCCGATTGCTGGCTCACCACGTAATGTGCACTCCTGATTTCCTCCCATTGCTCCACGGCAACTCTCACAGCGGCGGCACCTCACCAGCACACGGATTGCTCCGCCCACACTCGAGCCTCTCTATCAAGGCGGCCGAATCCTCAACCGCGCAACTTAGAGAAAGCTGCTAGTGTACGAAGATGCCCCGATTCGTGGTGACCACTTACGCTCACTTACGACTGTCCTACCCTCCGCTACTCAGCTGTTCAGGGGCTGTCCTCTGCCACATTGTTGAGCTCTGCGGGGCCCTGCACTTGACGGGAGTTGCGGACGTGGCGTCAAAGCGATCGGTTCATGAAACAAGCTGTTGCTTGATTTTCTTACATTGTCCCAGTGTCTGTATCTTGCAGCCAAACCACTAGCATACATTGTTCATACTCTCATATCAGCCATCTCAAACACGACAGTTTTCGCCACACTTAGAGTTAAGTGTGGGGTTGTGTTCTCAAACCC